TAAAAGTACTTGAATATTGTTGCAGGTATGTCTTAATGTGCATTCATTTCTTGCAACAGCGTAGGCCCGCCATACTTCCTTGCTTACAGGTAAATGGATGAGCTCGAGTTGCTAGCCCAATAACTTTTGTTTTTTTGCTTTTCTTCTTTATTTTATAATGTTACTCTGAATACATAGCATGCTACAATAAGCATGTTCTCTCTTATCCCATCCTTTTTGTGACCTTAACAGTAGAACAACACCATGCTGTGTATCAATTTTCTTTTAAGTATCTACTATGGATGAAGACTTAGGTCGTGCTTGGATACAAATATATCCGCTCAAAATATTTTTAATTTATTTTTGTTAACCAGTGTTAATTTTGAAAAAAAAAAGTGGTATAATTAGTTGTTAGTGGGATTTTGAGTTTATATTAAAATAATCTTTAAAATAAAAAATTAAAGTTAATATGATATAAAATTAGGAGGGAAATGGTGTGAAATGACGGTTAGTTAAAGTTATGTGAGTGGATGAGTAGTGAATTCAAATTGATGAGGTGTGTAAGAATGATTGATTAGTTAATTGTGGGTTTGACTCTTTTTGGTTAATGGTATTTATTCTGGTTATTCGACAGGGAATGGTGACTACTTATTTCGCGACTGTAGAAAATGTCGAGTGCGCTTATTTTGATCAAGTGGAGAAGCTACAAAACTTCGGGTCCCGTAATGGGGAAAGCATTGCTCAGTTGGTCTGGGCCTTTTTCCACTACTGGGCTTATTGTCATGATTACGCAAGTGACGTTATATCAGTTCGTACTGGAAGCACACTGAGGTAAAATAAAATGAAAAGGTTAAAAACAATTGAAAAAAAAGGAAAATGGTTAGAAACACGTGGCATATACGTTCTTCACTATCTTGGAGTAAACTGATATAGTTTTTATCAGAATAACTGATCAAAACACTTTGTGTTATCACAGCAAGAGAACTAAAGATTGGACCAAACGGGTTGGTAATGATCGCCACTTGATATGCATTGAGGACCCGTTTGAGGTGTCTCACGATCTTGGCCGTGTGGTGGATAAGCACAGCATTAGGGTCATTCGTGAAGAGTTTGAACGTGCGGCCGAAATTATGCAGTATGACCCTAATCCTTGTGTGACTTTATTCCAGCCCTATGCCCCCAATTAGTTCTTATTTTTCGGTTTGTGTAAAATTTCATGTGGTTTTGATCTTTTGTGTATATATATATATATTCCTTATCCCTTTCGAAATGCGGTTATGGTTATAGATATTGAGCGTGGGATCAAGTTTAGTAATTTCGTAGTCGAAAATGTCGCTAAATATCATAAATAATGTAAGTTATTCCGTCTTGTATATTGCCAAAATTTTGTTGAACTGCATTATATTTGATCTAGTTTTGAGCTAAAACTATGCGTTTGTTGTTGTTGTTTCTACAAATGACCATAATTTGCAATTTTAGCCCAGATAAGTGTAATAGTTACCATCATGATGTAGCGCAGTGTCGACAAAAGGAACAAAGAGATGAAATCTCCTAAACAATAATTTTATTTCACGATAAAACTGTTTTTCATCAGAAAGAAGAAGAGAATAAATAGTCTCCAAATCCTAGGTCTCCTAAACATCCTAAATAAGGGAATAATACTTAAATAAATATTAAATAAAACATGGAATATAAATAAAAGCTAGGAAATAAATAACTAGACTAAAGAAGGCATCCGGTCGTATTTCTGCATAAACGCCAATGCGATCTCGTCTCCATCACATCACAATGCAAATTCGACCCTGCCCAGTGGGTACGTAGTGCTCCGTATCCGTTAGATCACACAAAAGTCATAACATATTCATAACTAATGTATGATCTTCAAATAATATCCCATTAGCTCAAAATTATGAAATATTCATAACTAATGTATGAGATCCAATTAGCTCAAAATTATGAAGCAATCTCTGGCAACACATGAAAAAGAGCAAATTTTTACCGACTTTAGAACACAAGGTGGGTTTTCACAACCCTAACCATGCAATATTTTGCAGACCAAAATAATGAAAATGCTCAGAGACCGGGAACTTATAACTACCACACTGTAGCTGTAACTAATAAATCAGAACACATAATACACAACTTACAAAAGATCGATCGATGAATTTATCTACACTTTTATTTCGGGAAGTGACGTTTATTCCTTGTCTCGGGCGGCCCGATGAATAAGTCTGTCTCGACATCCGAAATTTCGCTGATTTCTGCAGGAGTCCCGGCGGCCTTTTCTTTCCTCGATTCCCTTTGTGTTTCGATACCAACCTAATCATATCGAAAATCGTTTGGAAAATTTGATTACTCTTGGAGGTCATGTATGGCTAATAGAAAGGGAAGAAGTTCAAATCTATGCAATTTGCTTTTTTTTTTTTCAATTTTTTAGATGCTTGGAGAAAATGGTGATGACAGTATACAATTGAAAATGAAATTGGAAACATAATTTGAAATTTTATGATGTTAAAGGATAAAATACTCCAACAAGTCAAGCTATCACAAGTTTTTGAATGCATATGATCAGACACTTAATCATATTTAGATGTGGCAAAGGGCGGAGCAACTAGAAATACGAACACGACACGACACGGAGGATGCGTAATTAAAAATTTGGTAAAATTTGGACGTATTATCATTGATCGAACAAAATATATTAATTGAAAGCACGATAGTGAAACACGAGCACGACACGATAACATAACCTGATTTACCAGCCCTATTCATGTGCATAAAATTACTCAATATACGAGATAATAATATTCAGATAAATGACATAATGCTAGAGGGATATTTCATCATCTTATGCAGAAATAAAGTAAAATTAAAGAAAAACACTAATGAGAAAAAAAAAAAGAAAAAAAAGGCAAAATAAAACTGTTTACCTTCTCATAAAGCAAGGCATTTTCAGCAGCTAGGGCTCTTTCCTGGGTTTTCCAAAACCAAAACTTGTTATGTGAGCTATCATCATTATTATAATAACATATGCATGTTTTTATTCCTAATAAGAAAGCTCAAATCTTTCCCAGTAAGAAACTATCATTATCTGAATTACTAATAAGAAAGATTAAATCTTTCGGACCAAATGAGATATCCATCGTTCAGATTTGGGTAGTCAGCCCTTCCTTTTGGTGCTTCTGCTATCTCTGATGCTGACTTCACCTGGAGTCCTTTCGGACCAGGATCAGATTTTTTGGTGTTATTTGCTGTTGTAGTCTCTTTCTTTTTCTTGTTTCCTTTTGTTATTATTGTTTATTTGAACTGTTGTTTTTTGGACATTGAATTGCAGATTTGTGAATTTTCAGTCAATTTAGGGTCTCTTTTTATATACACAGGTTGGGATTTCAGCCTTAACCCCACCCTCTCTCGAGGTGGTGTTGTTAATAAAAAAAGAAAAATCTTTAATTTCCTAATAACAAAGCTATCTCCTTCTATGAAGTACTAATTATAAGAAAGCTAAAACACCTATATATGAATTACTAATAAGAAAGCTCAAATCTTGCCATCTTTTTTCTTAGAATATGATGAATCCCATCTCAATATATGTCTAGCAATTCAAAGTAAAGTACTAGAAATCTAGAAGAGTTTACCTTTTCTTTCAATTGCTCAATTTGTTGCTTGTACACTTGCATCTGCATGGAGCCCCCCAAAAGAAAAAAAATAAATTAAATGAAAAATTAGAGCAAAGTTATGAGATCCCATAAAATGCAAAACAAAATAAAAATTGAATCTTTTTTTTTTTTTTGCTTTCTCATTAACTTAAACAAAACTTTGAAGATAAAATTTTTCCACCCCTTAAACCCAACATTTTATAAGAAAATAAAAATAACGAAACATCGGAAATAAAAAATATTATATACTTTACCTTTCTCGCGCGTATGACGTTAACGCTGCGCTCTAACTGTCGTTCTAACTGCTGCAGTTCTTCAATGGTGCAAGTTCCCAAACCTTGTCCAAGTAACTTCCTGGAGAATATAACTAAACACTCATTCTTAAGGAAAAAAAAAAAAATTGTCAAAAAATCGTCGGTATTAATTGACTAAAAACGATTGCTAGCTATAATGTACAAACCCCTTTGATGCTTCGAGTTGTTCTATCTTTTTCATCATGCTAGCTGCTTCAAGCTTCAAATGCTGCAATTATTCAAAGAAGGTGATCGACTTTAGTTGGCAAACGCAAAATAATCGGGTTTTCCAAAATTTAATCGAAGGATTTAAGTCACCTGTGTGTGATCATGTTCAATAGAAGGATTGGTGGCTTGAATCTCTTTTGCATGCTTTTGGTAGCGTTCTATTGTATGGTGCATGCTGATAATTTGTGGATAAAATTAAACAAACTCATTAGTAGCTAATTAACACTATAATTTGAAACCATTTTTTTCTATCTTATGTATTAACTACTCAAGATATGTAGAATGATATTAAAAGATTGAATCTTTATGCGAAAAAATTATGTAAATATCATGATCAAGTTGAAAGCAAGATAAAACAAGCAGAGATATATCAAATGTAACTCATAAAGTATGACATTTGAGTATGAAAATACGAGTTTTTATCGAAAAAGTATGACTATTTTATCCGTTAGGCATGCTAACAGAAGACCTACCGATTTATTACACCTAAGAAGGCATACATTGTTCCTTTGTGCTTTAGATTTATGTTGATAGAACATATGCAAACTGAAAATCAATGAAAATTAATGAGAAAACTTGTTACTACTCTTGTGCATGATCCTTGTTTGCTTTCTTCTCTACTTCTCTGTTTCCTTTATTTAGTGTCAACAAGATTGCTTTTGAATTATCGTACTAAGAATATCTTGTGATTTTCAAGCATAATTTTGGTAAAAAACATGTACTATTAAGCTTTGATTGAGTTTGTTTGTTTTGTATAATATATACTGACCTTTAATATTAATTTTCAGCTTATAACCTAATAGTTTTGATTAGTTTACCACTAGCTAGAGTTTTTGAAAAACTTACTTCCAATGATATGAGGCAGAATTATATAAAAATCAATTCTTTTAATAGTTTGAACTAGTGTTGTAAACGAATCGAACCAAACTGAACTGGGCTTGGGCTGTTCGAGCTCGTGTTCGTTCGTTTATTTTTCGAGCAAAAAACCGTGTTCGAGTTCGTTCGTTTAATTGTTCGTCAAAGTTTGAGTTCATTCGTGTTCGAATAATTTAATACATAATCTTTTTAAATATGTCTGTTTAACTCGAAATTTGTTCGTTATAACTCGTTCGAGCTCAAAAATAAAAGAATAAAATAAAAATATTATTATATTTTAGGTTTTTTAGTAAAAATATTATGTAAATATATAAAAAATAAATTAATTATATTAAATTTTAGATTTTTTTATTAAAAATATTGTGTAAATATATAAAAAATGAAATAAAATAATATTATAAACGAACGAGCTCGTGTTCGTTCGATTATTAAACGAGCCTAATTTTCTGTCCGAACTCGGCTCGATTAACAAACGAACGAGCTTTTGTCGAACACGAACGAGTTCGAACGAACTTTTGTTCGGGAACATTCGGTTGATTTACATCTCTAATATTTGAACCAATAAATTTATGAAAACTCAACCACAAAGTTCATGAAAACTCAAGAAAGTGAGAAACTATTCAAACAACCCCTGAAAAAAAAAAAAGAAAAAAACAAAGGCCTTGATTTGTTCAAGGTAATTGTAGTACAAAGTCATTATCAACCCCAAAATTTCAGCCAATAAAATCTCTCTTAATTTTCTTTATTGGGCAAAGTGATTAATATAGTACATGAAATAAAATGAAGCAAATTGTAAGCCACTTATGCCAGTACCAAAAGTCATCAATTTATGAAACCAAATTATACACAATATTTTATTTTAGTCTTTAGAATAAGGTATATCTATTCATAGGTTTTCATGATAAAATATTTTAAAATCATTGATGGGTTCT